GTGGCTCTTTGGGAACATACATAGAGAGTTCTGGTAGCCCAGCATGCAGGGAATTGTTTTTAGGACCCCAGGTCTAGCATGATTTTGCTCATTGTGCTTATGAACTAAGGTATAGGCTTTGTCCTAAAAAGACCAAAGGTGCACATTACAAAAAGACATGAAAAATGGCATCCATCACTAATTGTCTTGTGCATGTGTTTCCCCCCAGGAGCTGTTTCGGGTTTCTGTGTAGGAGAAGCTCAACGGAAAGTGAAAATCAGGTAAATCTGAAGAGAACCCAGTGCTGTGGCCAGGGAAGGCAGCGGGAAGCAGAATTAATGTTCCACTTTCTGTTTTCTAGGAGGGCTTTTTCTGGTTAAGGCAGCCACTTTGGCTTAGAGATACGTACAGACCTCTCAATGCCACACGTAAGAAAAACATGGCACAGAAGCTACATGACAAGGACTCCTCTGATGAGGATGAGATTTTCAATAAGGATGCTGGGTAAGTGACTGGGGGTGATATAAAATTCTCAAGTGAAGAGGTAAGGAAAAGCTTAATTGCTCCTTTCAAGAGTAACAACCTTGGCTTTGTTCTTCTCCCAGGGATGAAGCCCCATCACAGACCTCTGCTCCTACTGAGGGCGGAGAGTAAATCTGTCTTGCCTCAAGCGACTGGCAAATTTTATTTTCTAATATTGGCTTCTCATCAGTGCTTGTAAAATACTTTTTTTTCTCATATTAAAAGGTACAAAATTCACAACCAATCCTAGCCATGTGGTAAAAAGTAACATGTAAATAGTTAAATATGTGTATATAAACAACAAGGGCATAGGCAAGTAGAGCTGGTCTAGAGCTAGAATCCTCTATGGCAGCCATGCTTCTGTAAGAGGCAGTGTGTGCAGAGTTGGAAAGAGCTTCTAGGCCTCATGCCCCAGTGTAAATAATCATCTTTCAGAGGGCCAGAAAACACATCATCTTCAAGGAGTGTGGATTTCTAAATAAAATACCAGTTGTTCTGGTGCGCTCTTTCTGGTTCAAGAACCAATCGTTTGAAACTTAGTTGACCTCATGCCCATGAAGATCTTCCACCTTCTGGCCCCTCTCATCAGGTATTGGGGTTGCCAGAATATTTGAATCATTGAACTTGCTGCACTGTGGGGCCAAGCTGTGCTTTTCTTCCCAAGCCTTCAAATCATGTGCAAACATATACCCTGTCTTCGTAGGGGATTCTCCACCCTTTAAAAGCTGGTAGAAAATTAATATTGGTTTATTGGTTTTTCATTTTTAAAATGTTGACCC